GGGCTTGAGCCCAGACTCGAGCCTGAATAAAGACCCTCGTGTGTTTGCATCGGAGCTGGCTCTTTGTGGTCTCTATCTCTCTCATTAGAGTCCCAGGTTCAACAGAGAAGAGGTCTCGCCAATTTGCCCAGGGAAGTCTTGCACCTTTGGGCTCAGGCAATCCTCTCCTCTCTGCCTCACAAAGTGCTGGGATTAAGGGCATCAGCCACTGCACTTGGCTATTTGTTTATTTATTTATTTTTGAGTCAGAGTCTCACTCTGTCGCCCAGGTTGGAGTGCAGTGGCAAGCTCACGGTCACCGCAGCCTTGAACTGCTGGGCTCAGGCAATCCTTATGCCTCAGCCTTACAAGTATCTGGAACCACAGGCATGTACCACCATGCCCAGTTAATTTTTGGATATATTGTAGAGATGAGGTCTCCACAAGTTGCCCAGGCAGGTCTCGAACCCGGGGCTAAGGCAATCTTCTCACCTCAGCCTCCAAAGTGCTGGGATTACAGATGTGAGCCACTGCACCTGGCTTATTTACTTATTTTTAATTTTAAAACTCTTTTAAAAACTTAAAAAAAAAATTTATTGTAGAGACAAGGTCTCACCAAGTTGCCCAGGCTGGTATCAAATCCCTGTGCTCAGATAATCAGGCCCAGAAAAAAAAAATTTGTTTTAATTTCAATAGCTGGCCGGGCTTGGTCTGTAATCCCAGCGCTTTGGAAGGCCAAAGCAAGTGGACTGCCTGAGCCCGCAGGTTCCATACCAACCTGGGTAACTTGATGAGACCTCATCTCTACAACAAATAAAAACTTAGCTGGGCAAGGTAGTGCGCACTTGTAGTTCCAGCTGCTTGGAAGGCTGAGGCAGAAGGATCGCTGGAGCCCAGCAGGCTGACTGCACTCCAGCCTGGGTGACAGAGTGAGACTCCAACTCAAAAAAACAAACAAACAAAAAAAACAGGCTGGGCTCAGTGGCTCAGCCTGTAATCCCAGCCCTTTGGGAGGCTGAGGTAAGTGGATTGTCTGAGCCCGCGGGTTCGAGACCTGCCTGGGCAACTTGGCGAGACCTCATC